AGTTGAGTATGGGGAGGGAGGAGTTGGGTATGGGGAGGGAGAAGTTGGGTATGGGGAGGGAGGAGTTGGGTATGGGGAGGGAGAAGTTGGGTATGGGGAGGGAGGAGTTGTGTATGGCGAGGGAGGAGTTGGGTATGGGGAGGGAGGAGTTGGGTATGGGGAGGGAGGAGTTGGGTATGCTGGAAGTTTATGCTTTATGAAATTTATACCCCGGTCTTCGATCATACGCAAAATTATGACATACCAAAGAATTTTTTTTTTAAATCTAGGTTGTTGTTGTTGTTTTTTTTTTAATAGTAAAACTGCCTTCAAGCCTCAGCCAACGAGATTTGACTCACGGCGCAGATACATCAGGACCTTGCCCTTCCCCTCCCCCATATTTAAATACCTATACAAATGAAAAGCGCCCAACAGATTCCTTTGATATAGATGTCGATCATACTAAACTTGCAATCCACACTGTAGCAAGCAAAAAAGTTAACATGACGACATATAAGCATACGTCGGCGTTCAAATATTTTATTTTGTATAATGTGTGTACCCGAGGGGGGTTGGGGGCGGTATGCCTGATATGATCGTGGGGAACGCATATAATAGTAGTGGGATTTCATGATAAAGTCAATTCACGTCTCCTTCAGTCTTCTTCCCCCCCCCCCCCCCCCCCCCCCATACTCTCCGAACTAAAGGATTGTACTGTTTTAAGAACGATCGTTTCAGCAGCGAATCCATATGAAATAAATGGCCGGAGAACAACCCCAAAACGAACTAGTGGCGGTGGTGGTGGTGGCACGATTCTCAAACTTTGACCATCACTGACGATGGACTTTTAGTAGGTGTTTCGGTCGTATCTTTCTATCAAGCATGTGAACAGACTGCTGGAATTCGCATCTTTGTGCAACCCTTCTCTCCCGATCTTCCACTGCAGTTTAACTATATGTTGATGGGTGGAAATCCACCCCCATGGCCCAGCCTATAAAAAAAAAATATATCTTCTATTCGTGTGTCAGGCCTCTGCCAGTGACATTTCAGCATGGTTGGACGCGTGTTGACGTCTCCCTACACGGATAGCAACGTTATGATGCTCTCCCCCCCCTCCATCTTATTATGACAATGAGGAAATTCTGAGGAAAGGTTAAAAAAAAACAAAAAAACTTTATATCCAAATTATACTTTTAATGGGATGTATTAAATAATGTTCAATTAACTTATATGTCAACTTTCTTTTAAAAACAGCGAAGGTGCAAGCACCTTAGTCAGTAGCATAGAAAGGGAGTGCGGAGGGGAATCCCCCCCTCCCCGGCGGGACTTTTATTTATTTATATGAAGAGTGGGGGCGTAACTGCAGATTTGTAGTCGTGGAAAGGGTGGTACAAAATTTTGCCCGCCCCGGGTGGCACTTACCCTTTTTACGTCACTGGATTCGGGAAGTAATTGTTTTGTTCCTTCAAATTCTCTTCACAATAGTAGTTCTCATAACAACTTTGATCTCAGTCCAACTTTTTAATCACTTCTCTGTCTTATTTTATTTCCTTTTTTTATATATATATACTTCTTTAGTAGGGACATTGGACAAACTTAGTTTGGGGTCATTCAGCAACTCTTTAGGTGTTCTTAACCTTGCCCGGAAAACAGATAACATGATACATAAGATGCTTGTATTGATTTTTTTTTTAAACAACCAAAAAAAAACAACAAAAAAACATGGAAATGGACATGGATTACATTATAAATATTCTTGTTTAGCTTTATCAAAAACAAAACACACAGACGTCAACATACATATAAATATTCTGACGAAACAAAATAATTTTAAACCAGAACAATTCTGTGGTCAGAAATTTTAATCTTAACCTTTCAAACATACAAAATTCAGACGTTTTTATTGTTACGCTTCAACTTCAAGCGGGGCCGGATATGCTGTAAGCTTTTTTAAAAAAACATATAATAAGAAGAAACATAAGCCCAAGGTTATGGAGCCTGGAGGGTTCTCAAACAATAAAATTCTGAATTCAGATGAAGGCAATCAATACGTGTCATATTTTCTGGGTTTGTTTCCATTAAGAAGGTACCCCCCTCGTACCTGCCCACTGTCCCCCAGTCGAAAAAAAAAAAAAAAATCCCATGGATGAATAGCTTTAAAGGACACGAATTCAAGTCAAGATATATTTCCAAGCAAATGATTTTGATTTCTTCAAGGGTTTCGTGTCGAATTTAAACAAAATGCTCAATAACCAGGCAATGACTACCAGATTACATGTAGGAGTGGGCCATCCGGAAAACGTGTTCTTCCGCGGAGTGGCAAACCTTACAGCTACGCCCCTGTGCCCTCTCAAATATATTTCAACGTCATCAATTTTAGCGCCAGAAAAAAAGCAAAATTAAAGGCTTTTCGGAACAAATGCAAAAGAGAAAAAAAAGTGGGGACTAACATTTAAAAAAACATAACATAAGAGCCCCTGCTGTTAACTGCATTTCTGTTTTAAATCACAAAGCATGCATCTACCGGTAAAATCCTATTTGAAGAAACAAAAAACCTCCTGTGCGCGTTTAGGTGTAAGTAAGCCTCCCTCAAACGAGGGGCAATAAAACCTAAAACCGGTTTTAAAACTACCTCTATAAACTGCAGGACACACACACACGCACGGACGGACGGATAGGGAAGTAGCGGCGTTTCTCAGAACTGACAGTTTTGTGAATATGAACAAATTCTTTGGAAACGTTTAAATTTAAAGGAAACGTTGTGCAGAAGCTCCTATAAAAAGGTATAAAAGGACAAGACCGGCCTGACTACGGCGTTAAGAATAGCTAACCTCCGTGCGTGCTTTATTTATTGTATGTTACCGATTACAACATTTAGCAAACACTTTGTGTTTTGGTTTTAGGGGTGATGAGTGGGTATGGGGGAAAAAAAGGAAAAAGGGGGGGGGGGGAGTCCTGGGTACAGCAGAAGGTAGATGTGGTGTGAAATTCGGTCAGTGGCTTAAATTACCTTGTCACCGGAAATGGTAAGTATTCCAACCCCAAGCCACACCCGAATAGAAATATATATATATATTTTTTTTTTTCAATCGGTGGACCACTCACGTTCGTAGAATGCCTTCCACCAATCCAATATTACGCCCCCCCCCCACCCCCACACACAATGTTCCCCTAAAAAAGATAAGCCGGAAGGTAAAGCCTTGCGACTTCTACGTCATATCTACACCTTTGGAACTTGACCATAATATCAATTTTCAGAGTAATTCCTATTACTGCGTGTTTCTAGCTGGACGGGACCACACAGGAAACGGTCATCGGCTGACATTTCTGAGTCGGAAGGTCGAACAAAAAAGTTCGTATGTAGTAAAACATACACCTATTTTGAAAAAAAATGACGAGTGATCGGTCTATTGGTAAGGACTTAATATCTACTATTTGATCGGTCTATTGGTAAGGACTTTATATCTACTATTTGATCGGTCTATTGGTAAGGACTTTATATCTACTATTTGATCGGTCTATTGGTAAGGACTTAATATCTACTATTTGATTTGCCTATTGGTAAGGACTTTATATCTACTATTTGATCGGTCTATTGGTAAGGACTTAATATCTACTATTTGATCTGTCTATTGGTAAGGACTTTATATCTACTATTTGATCGGTCTATTGGTAAGGACTTAATATCTACTATTTGATCGGTCTATTGGTAAGGACTTTATATCTACTATTTGATCGGTCTATTGGTAAGGACTTTATATCTACTATTTGATCGGTCTATTTGTATTGTAAAGACTATCTTGCACAGTGCCGTGTAGTTGTGTGACTTTTGGAGAACCCCCCCCCCCCCGACTTTTATCTTTTGGAAGACACCCCCTCTTTTCATTCAAAGTTGATTGTTTATTTTTATGATAAATCAAAAAAAAAGGTAAACATTTCAAAATTATTTAATGATCCACTACCCTCCCCCCCCCTACCCTTGCGTCTGGAGACAACTTCGATTAATTAAGTGTTATAAATCTCAGCACTTGGTTCATGTTCAATGGAGACATCATTGATAATCAACAAAGCATCCCCTGTTTCCTTGGTCAAGCGTAAGTAAATAGGAATCAGTAAATAGGATTTGATAAGCTTCAGCCATCGGTATAGAGAAACTGTGCTCTCAGCTTGCAACACTGACTGGCTGACTGGCATTGAGAGGATGATCCTCGATCATCATAGATATAATAGAAATGTGTGCGGGAGGGTTGGGTTTTGGGGGGGGGGGGTGTTGTTGGTTGATGTTTATTTCTGAAAATGAACCTACAATGTCTACATTGACGCTGTTGTTTGCACTTTGTTTGTAATGCATGTTCACTCAAATCAAAATACAAACTTCACAGTTAAAAACATACCTCCAGTGTTTGGTTTTAATTGGAATTTTTATTTTTTTCCCAACTGATCATCAATAAACATAACCTAACACTTCCAAACCAAATAAAACATTAATTTGGGGCAGTGGGTGCAGGTGGACAATAAACATAACCTAACACTTCCAAACCAAATAAAACATTAATTTGGGGCAGTGGGTGCAGGTGGACAATAAACATAACCTAACACTTCCAAACCAAATAAAACATTAATTTGGGGCAGTGGGTGGAGGTGGACAATAAACATAACCTAACACTTCCAAACCAAATAAAACATTAATTTGGGGCAGTGGGTGGAGGTGGAGACAATGTGAAAATACATTTTCATTTAGCTAGAGACAATGAACAAATCTAAGTGGCATATTGGAATACAAATCAAAGGGAAACAACACAAAATTGTTAAAACTAACTTGCACTGAAAAAAATCATTTTTTTATTAAATTATGAATCGGAATTTCTTTTTTAAACTACCATGACAGTAAAAGAAATGCATGTTATAAGAAGACAAGAGCACACGCTAATTGCTCATATCAAATTATTTTAACTTCTGTAAGTCATACAACATCAGCCTCATCACTTTGATACAACAGCAGAGCACGTTCTCAGGTTGGGAAAGTTTTGATCATATTACACAATGCATATATTTCTTGTCAGTCCTGTACATTGAAGCTCAAACATTAACAGATCACACTGAATGAGAAGTAGGACAGGCATCAAGCACAACTGGCAACAACAACTTGGTGGGCTGATTTCTTTAGCAAGTAAAGCAAACTAAAACTCACAAAAAAATGTACAACTTTGAGATGTAAAAAAAAATAAAAAAATACTATAACAATTATAAATATATCATAAAAACAAAAGAAAAAGTTTATTCAACTTTGACCTTCCTGCGTTGCCTGAACCATTTGATAGCATTGAACATGGATGTTAATACTGGCAGGCTGATTGGCAGAAACAGTGGAATGTAGATGGCGAACCTAGGAAGAGAGATGTTCACACACATGAAGACATGTCATTACAGCTGTATAAAGTAATGAGAAGTAGGGTTTCTAAAAAGTAAATTGGCACCTTCTGTGGACCTTTTCTTTAAAAACAAAAACAAAAAACATTCTTAATTATCATATAAAATAGTGGTTGACCTTTGAATAACAGTATGAGAAAATTTAACGTCAATATCTATTAGTAAATGCAACTGGCATATCCTATTTATTTTTCAGATAAAAAAGGTAGTCAGAAGCAAAGATATTCATTTAGCTTGCAATTACGCTTAGGCCTAAGAAAACTTATCATTACAATAGCAAAATATATGCTTAGGCCCAAGCAACTTAACATTACAATAGCATACTATATGCTTAGGCCCAAGAAAACTTAACATTACAATAGCTACTATATGCTTAGGCCCAAGAAAACGTAACATTACAATAGCTACTATATGCTTAGGCCCAAGAAAACTTAACATTACAATAGCATAATATATGCTTAGGCCCAAGAAAACTTATCATTACAATAGCAAAATATATGCTTAGGCCCAAGCAACTTAACATTACAATAGCATACTATATGCTTAGGCCCAAGAAAACTTAACATTACAATAGCTACTATATGCTTAGGCCCAAGAAAACTTAACATTACAATAGCTACTATATGCTTAAGCCCAAGAAAACTTAACATTACAATAGCTACTATATGCTTAGGCCCAAGAAAATTTAACATTACAATAGCAAACTATTTATGAGTCAGAATTGCATGAAAAGAAGATTTAAAAAAAAAATATGACATATTTATGGCAAAGTGAAACAATCAACAACAACAACAACAACAAGAAGACACAGGTGTAGACTGTGTGGTTAACTATTGTAAAGTGATTAACTGAGTAAGAAAATATATGAGTATGACAAGACAAGTGATGAAAAGTATTTCTGTGTGAGACTAATTGTCACAAACGGTATGTAGGAAGTAATGAAGAGTTTGTGTACAATTTCTTGTTCATTGCTTTTAGTCAAGATAATGTAGCTTTTACAGCGCCTGGTAAATATCAATTTAAAAAATGCACTTTTTGATAAAGCAGTGGCCGCAGAAGGTCTAGGCAAAAGGCTTTGGTTGATACAACTCTGTTAAAAACATAAAATAAGGAGTGATAGTGCAAAAAATTATCACCGATTTAAAACTTACTTTTGGTCCTCAGGAAAGTACAAGAGCTCCAGCAACGACGGGTGGAAGAAAGCCAGCTCTGAGGCGTCCACTGCAGCCTTGGAAGCAAGAAAAGCTTCCTCCAGTTTCCCATTTCTGAGCAAGAGTTTGCTTTCCTTGATTGAGGCAACAGCTGACTCCACCTGCCAATGTAGTAAAAACATGTCACTTCCCATTTCACAACTTGAGGGATTGCGCACAACGACAATGGAAAAAAAACAAAGTATCTCACCCACTTAAAGAGGGTGGTTTTAAAAGATCACCGGGGGGGGGGCAGCGACCAGGGTGGTGAGCGGTGTGTAAATGATCAAGGTACAAGCGGGTAACAATGTTCAATTAGTTGGGGACATCTGATATATCAGCACGTTACAGGGTGGGAACGTAGTAAAGGTGGGTGCCCTCAAACGAGGGGGGGGAGAGAGAAGTTAGAGAGATTATAAGTTCCATGAGCTTGATAATATATTCAGAAAGTTCATGACCAAATTTTATCATTGAAACTAATGGGGGTAGGAAAGGCAACTCAACAAACCAAGATTTAAAAAAAGTCAAATTTGGAAACATTGTTTGTCTTGTTGGCTTTTGTTTCCATGCTGCAGAGATGGACAGGAACAGAGTTAGCAGTAAGACAAGATCACTGGCAGTTTTACATACCCGGAGTTGATTTTGATCATCTATATACCTATATAACATCAGTATTGATGTGTGTATGACCTAACCACTGGGAATCCCAAACACCAACTCATAGAGAGGAGCAGCCCTGCATAACTCAGTACCATTAAAACAGCGCAATTTTTGTAAAATGAGGGTCCAACTTCTTCCACACATTCTGCAACACAATCCTATTACAAAAATGCAGAGGATCTAGAGCTAGGTCATTTAAGACTTTTGGCCTCCTGCTGACCTGTTTTCCATTTCTCAGAAACGTGAGATCGCGGAACTTTAAAAAAAAAATCAAAACCCAATCCATTATTTACCTCTTTGCCAATTTCATCATTGATGACTATGTTTTTGATCTCCTCCAACAGCTGGGCCAGGGACTGCAGCGTCGTTGTTGCCGTAACCAAGTTCTCGACGCAGCGACACCTCAGCCAGCCGGCGATTTCCCACTGGTGTAGCCGCGAGCTGCCAGTAGGCAAGACTTCGATTTCTTTTGTCATCCACTGTGGACAGTCAACTTATGTTAGAGGGATATCACTTTTTTTCTAATACAGTGAACTCCCAGAGAATATAATCTGTTTGCCAAATCTGTGCTGATACTTGTTTACCAAGAGCCCGAGGGTTGTACTGATATTTTTTTTACAGAGTTCCCAAGGGCTGTACTGGTATATGTTTACCGAGTGTCCAAGGACTTGACTGATATTAGCTTACTGAGTGCATATGGACTAAACTACCAAATAAGTATGTGGCATCAAAGTGTCTTCAAAATGTAATTACCAATAGCAAGCAGCGCACACAAATTGCTCTTTTCAATATTAGTTTTTCTAGAAATAATTATTATTTCAATCTGCTTAGTTCTGTTCTCTCTCATGCTCATACATTTTTAAGTAAAAGGCTGATAACTCTACGTAAGCAGCCAAAAAGGATTTTTAAAGATAATTCAGTTAATCTTCAATACTTTTTTTTTCTGCATCACTGAAACACATAATTATTTACGCTTATTTACTCCTTCCATATGTTTAGATAATAAAGTATTTTTTCCCATTAATGACTGACAATCGTGCTATGAAAGCTGCATTACCTGATGATGTATGTTCAACAAAAGTCTTGTCTGTGTGACAAAGACCTCCATGATCTTATGCATGTCTAAGCTGATCGGGCCAGTCTGTGGTGTGGAGACATTGGCACCCTCACCTTCAATGTTGTAGATCAGGATACCACCCCAGCGTGGACTAATGAAGGAATTGCTGGGTACACGTTCACCTGCATTAGGTACAAAAGTACATAAACATATATGGTAATGGTTCTTGCTAAATACCAGATGCAAAATATTATATTTCTTAGTTCTTGCTATATACTAAGATGTTTATATATTACTTAGTTCTTGCTTTATACTGGTTGTAATGTTACACTTTGAGCCTCGATACAGTGTGATTTTGCTCTCTCAAGCTAATCAAGTTTGGACCATTATCTTGACCTAATTATTTTCTTTATTTGGCAAACTTTTGATACATTCAGTTAAATCTTGCTTTCTAAAAGTTAACAATTGATAATAAGGTTTTTAAAAAATTTTATTTTAAAATTCTTTTTAAATTAAATTTTATAAAAAGGTAACACTACCACACAAAATGAGATTCAGGTTTGCTACCTTTGTTGTTGAGGATGTACAGTGGACTCCTTGACTTGAGGGGGACACCTACCACATAATTGAGGCCTGGATTGTTGGAGGCATGAGAACCTGTAATGTAAAAGATCCTGGTTTGCTTTTTAGATTTCAGAACAAGTTATTGAAATAACTCTTTTTCTTCCCAAAATTAGTGAAAATTATAACCAACACTGGCAATATGCTTTTCTTATTTTACGCTTTCATCAGACAGGATGGAAAAAATGTCTTGACTTTTATACTATGCTGAGTGCTACAAAAAGATAGAACCAAGAGATTAAAAATTCCTCCCTCTACACTATTTTCATTTAATCATTTTAATTCAAAATATTTAAAACTTTTGAGAGAAATATTTTCCTTAATTAGCTGGAGATGGAAAAATTTAGACGGAAACAAATTTAAAAGCTTAGCCACAATAACCAATGTTATTAAGCTTCATTTTAAGTATTAAAAAAATTATTATTTTTTTAAGTGTAATTTTTGTTTAATTGCCATTCATTTTGTTTAAAATCATTTACACCCCTCCTGAGTTGTAAGTAACAATTACCAAGTTTGGATTCCAAAGGATTGATAACATGAGGTAAATCCTGTTCAGAATAGTAGTAAAAGTTGTCTCCCTTCTTTGGCTTGCCTCCCAGGCTAATGAAATACAGAATCTGGAAAGCAGTGATAAAATTACCATGTAATTTCCAGGAAATGTAAATTACATTTTCATATATTCATTTACTAACTTCAGTAGTTGATGATTATGTGATGATTATTTAGCCCATTCAAGTCACACTGTAATAATTGGGGGGTTTTTTCAACTCAAGATCTGCTAATTTTAATTCAATTTTATGGGAAACTGGAAAAATCATTTAAGTAGTTAATAGAATTTGTGAGGCTTATAAAGGTGAAAATATGAAATTTACTGGTAATTAATATTTATGGCTTTTCATTTCTGTTCACTTACCTGTGAAGCTACAGAAAACTTTGTGTAGCCCTTCAGTGAATCCAGCAGTGGCTCAAGGTAAGCTGAGAAGGTAAAATGATTTTTTTTAAAGACAATGTGGCATCATGGAGATAATCCTTTTTTCCCCTCAGCTCTAATTAACTGCGTGCTTAGTTTTACAAACTTAGTTTTGCCAAAGCTGTCCATGATCAGAGCAGACACTAAAACCAATGCTGCTCAACACCTTTCTGTTTTATAATCTTTGGTAATCATATTGTTCCAGTGACATAAAAACAAGTCTACTGTTGGTCTTTGTACTTGAACATTTCTCTGAACTTATTTTGAATAAGCATATTGTTAAAACACAGTCATTTATACTCAGACATTATTGGTTTAAAGATTTGAAAGAATAAAATGGAGAGAGAACACTTAAATTAATAAATATTTTTTTTTATATAAAATATTTATAGCAATAAATTTACATTCTTTACTTAAACAACAGCAAATTAATTGTCTCTTGCAATCTGGTCAGAATGCCTGTCAATCAAAACCTATATTTCAATCCAACACCAGTAGACACTCTAGTTTCAGGGCCAGAGAAAGACAAAGATGATGATTTAAAGGACACGCTTAAGTCCACAACATTAATCTTCAGCGGGCCTCACACCTTTCGGCAGATCGCCAAGTATACCCCCACCTGCCAGTGAAGCAGCATGATGAAGCATCTTTATTGATATAAAACGGATAATTCTTTAGAACCAGGATGGCTTACCTTTCAACCCGTGTTCAATGTTCCATGTTACACTGACATGATCCGGCTCTGGGACAAGTAGTGTGAATGTGATATCAAAACCTGGGTGGAATCTGAAAGATCTCATGGTGTCTTTATCAGGCTGTGTGAGTTGAAAAATATACAATCAATTTCATGTACACAGCAAGTTGGAAAATAATGAACCAAAAGCAAAGTTAAAAAGACATTTTAGACTTGTATAATTTTAACTTTTGGTGTAAATCATTAAAATTTGTTAAGAAATTGTATTGTCTTTCAAGAAATTAACTGAAGTCTCTAATTTTAATTTCATTTTTAGAACACTTTTTTTAATGACATACTCTTTGAGCCCTAAGACCTTGGGCAGCCTCCAAACTCTTGAAGACAGCTGACTCTCTGATAATGTCCATGAGCAAGTGCTTGATTTGAGCTGACAGTCCACTGGTATCTAGAAATGCAAAGAATATTTTCAAACAAATAGTTGGCCTTTACATCGGGTTTATGCCCCCCCAAAAAAGAGGTTGAACTTGTAATAGATTAATTAAACAGTGATTAAGAATTGCATTGTCCACAATTAATTTTTTTAAAAAACAACACTTATTTGTGTGCTTTAGAAGAATTCCTAGAAATTTTTTTGCCAGTTTTATTATTATTTAAATGTTTCCTTACGTGCATTATTATATGGCAAGAAATCATAGAAATTATTTATTCAGTTTTAATATTATTTAAATGTTTCCTTACCAGCATTATTATATGGCAAGAAGACATTATTGTTTGAAGCAACAACTGGCTGTGAGATAATGCTTGATTCCTGGGTAATGATGATGTTGTACTTGTTCACATTATCAGAGGCAAGCACACCGCTCAGCTCAGCAACTAATCAATTCAACAACGAAAATTTTAAAACTTATCTATAGGGATGTTTAACACTGAGCACATAGCAACTATTTGAACTTACAGATTTATAATTTTAGTCGCGTTATCAGTTATTTCTGAACAATAAGTATAACAGTGTTAGATTAAGATAAAAAGGACCCGTCTTTCAATTAAACATTAAAATACCGATGTTTTATTTGTATCACTTCTTTTTTCAACACTTATTGTAAAATTGGAGAAAAAAAAATTTAAGTAAGCTTTGTTCTAAAAGTCATACCATTTGAAGATTTTTTTATTGCCAGGAGTTCTGATTTTTCTGCTTCTCTAACCGCAACTCGAAAAATTGAAAAAAGTGTAGATCCTTGATGCTGCTTCACCTCTGCGGAATCAGTAGAAATTCAAGTGTTACTAGCTACAAAAAAATGCAATGTCAACCTGCATATTTCGATTCAGAATCACTCAGGAGATTTTTTTAAACTTCTCAGCCAACACTGTTTTGTATTTATGAATCATAGCTGATAAAAAGTAAATGAAAAATTTTACATTTTCTTTAAGCGTCATATGATTTCAGCCATAAGAAATAAAAGGGTTAAGGTTTTATAATCACAAAACCAATTTAATTGAATGTTATTACTAATGACATAAACTGATCACAATTTCTTGAAAAAGTAATCCACATAAGCCTATATTATTAAAATGTACCTAAACAAAGTATACTACTTAATTAAACTGTAAATTGTTGAAAATATAAAAAGCTGTAAATTATTGAATATATTACCCAACAATCTGTTAAGATTTAGAGCTAAGTCAGGAAGGAACAAACTATCCTTCTTTACATCGGTTGCCCAAATCACATCGACATCTATGAGGTATTCAATCTGAAAATGTTTTGGTTTTTTTGGAAAGTATCTTAAGTAACATAAGTAAAATAATACAATTATGAGCAGCTGAAAGAACTGCTTTCATTTTGTAAAAAATCTGCTGTAAATGTTATTTAAAAGGCAATATAAATGAGGTAACACATTAGAATATCCAAAGAGTTTAGATTTCTCAATAAAATATTTTTAATTTACTTAATTTGTAGCAGGAAATAATATTCAGTTTCTAACTGAACCCATAATATATTATCTGTCTGTTATTTATAGTATCCTATATCATGCTGAAATCTTTTGAGTCAGAATTGTAATTTGTTTCACATGATTACATTTGCAATTTTCCATCAAAAGAAATAATAGTTTTGGTGATGAACAAGACTTAACATAAGGAAAACATAAGTAAAACTGACAAGTTTTATAATTTAAAAAAAAATTAAAGAATTATTTGATTGAGGAAGATTTTCTTTTAAATCATATTCCATTTGTACCTTGGTATCAGATAAATGCTGTATATCAGAGTAAGGTAAGCTAACTCTGTACACCTCAGTTGTTTTCCACCACAGTGGTATCCCAATGACAACACAGAGTATTCCTATTCCGAGTGCAGCAATGTGATGTGTTCTTATTTCTGAAAGCAAAAATGACACATCCATTCAAAAGTATAATGAAAAGAATATAAAATTTGTATCAAATTCAAGTTATTTGAATTTGGCATTTTCTTTAATTTATCTCAATCTATCATTCTGTGTCCAGCCCTATATTTAATTTGCCAATGTAAACTAATATAGGACTAGGCCTTTTTTTATTTAAACCTAAGCCGCCTAACACCCATGTCAGTTTCTATTGACATCTTTATTGATTGTAAAAAAAATGGGTAAGTTCCCAAAACAATTATTAAAACATTACAGTTGTATAGAGCAAACTTCAAATAATGAAACCAGTACCAACTTTCTAGCTTTAGTAGTTTAATAGCTATGATTTTTTTTTAAAGTGTGAGCATGTTTGTAATTTTTTTTATTATGGACTGAACCTCCACATTTTGTGACCCTATTTGACTGTTCTCCTCAATCTGCTATAATCTGTGTTTTATTTATAACATTTAACAGTTTTTGTTTTCAAGATTTATCCTATACTATAACTTTCATTTCGAAAATAAATTGTAACAATAAATTTTTATTTTGGTACAATAAAACTTAAGTTGTAGTATACCTTGCTATTATGGCTATCATCGGTTAAAACTATGTTGGAAATATATGATTAAACCTTCAATTATTATAATTATAATAGACTAAACTCAAATTTAATAAATAGAATATATTAAATGGCGATAACAAACAACTTCCATCATAATGCAGGGGCGACAGTTGAGGCCGATCATAGTTGAGCCAAGCACCCTCCTACAAACTAACAAAAATCATAGCTCATCTCATTAAATACATATTGCTTTGAAAATTGGCACTAATGTACATCAAATGATTCTGATTAGATTTAGAAAAAAATGAAACAAGTACATTTTCAATCTCGAATTTTAAAACAAAACATGGGAAAGTGCCCTACATGGACCATAAATGACACCAGCTTACTAATAAAAATCATAGCCTCTCACATAAAATACATTTCCCTTTGAAAATTGGCAATAATGTACATCAATGTAAACTGAATATATATAGAAAAAATTAAAGGGTTATATTTTCAGTTTTGACTAAATCTTAACATGGAAAGATGCCCTATTTTGACCTATGATTTTTCTAATAGTTGGGTCCTTGTAAAAGCAAAATAAATTGATAGGAATGTAGGCCAAGATGTGAGCTACAGTTACTGTGCGGAAGGTTAATAAAATTTTATAACAAAATAGTCTTTTACAATTTCACAAACAAATGTTGGAGTCTACCTTGCTTTACCGAAGTGCCTACTTGAATGATTAACCCTCACCAGACCACTCCCCACGCTCACTTGGGGCCATCAGCCCCCTCGATTTCTGTCCTACTTCCCCAATCAAAATGCACATTTTAAGATCCAACACTTAGCTTGAACCAAAAGTATACCCTAAAGCAGTGGATCCAAATGTCTGTTAATTGCACCTCTGGGGGACCACTTGAGGGTATGCAAAAAATTATATAGATATTACAGAAAGGTTTTTTTAAGAGTTGTCATATGATCAAGGGGTACAGAAGAGAAAAAAAAAAGTTAAGAGCCACTGCAATAAATAATGCCAAATTAGAGAATTAATTTATTTTATGTTAAGCTGGGGGATGGAGTTACAGCCGGCCCTGGTCATAGATATGCCCAAATGTGGCGCTGATAGATGTACTGGTCAAAGTCATATCTAGGGTTAGTGCAGATATCTGCTAGGGGTGTGCCGGATCCGTTTTTTCCAACCGGATCCGGATCCGGATTTTCTTATGCGAAATCCGCCAGATCCGGATTCCGGAATAATCCGGATTCGGGTTTCTCCCGGATTTTGGTACTATTGGTAGATACTTCGGTAAGTCAAGGTGGACTACTACTTTTTGTGTATGGGAATTCGCAATCGGCGCCAAAAAATCCGAGTTTTTAATTTTCCGATGTGTGTGTCTATTTATTATTAAATTAGTACTTTCGATATATATTTGAGTTCCGTTCCATTTAGATATGTGTCTTACGAGAGACGCCATGTTTCTACGCGTTCGCAGCAGGTCATGCAGCTCGCTCAACCTAATTTCGCCATGGGGTTGGCCACGCCCCCCTTTTTAATGGCGGAAGTTGACGATACTTAGGAAATATTAATATATTATCACTATTTACATCAAAATAATTGATAACTTGTGTTTCAGAATGCATTTAAAGACATTTAAACTGGAATGTTTTAATTTGAGCTTTAACAACCCGGTAGAATCCATATTATAAATGATCAGAATTTACCGTGTGCAACACGTTGTCATTGGCAACCATTCACAGCCACTTGCATAACTGTATCGTAGTACTACCTCAGAGTTTCATTCATAAGAGTTTGCCGTGTGCAAAAACTATTAAACCATTGGTCAGGGAAAGCTTTAATTAATTATTCATGTGCCAAAGTTGAAAGTTTAAACTAAGTCTAAACAGTATTTTAGTGATAAGGCAGGGAATGCGTTGCCTTATATAAACTATATAGTCATTGCGCATGACGGGATTGGCGGAATGAGATCACAGAATGTGGAGATGCAGTCCATGTTAAAAAATGACAAACCAAGTCGTACTTTAAAAATTCATAACTTTAAAACTACAACAGCTAAAAATATGATTTTGGTGTTATAATTCTTTAAAAAATTACATCTTTTCAACTATGCCATTGGTTTATTTTTACAAAAAGTTTAAATTTTCTTATCAAAGTCCCTACACTATTGGCCACTATTAGCGGTGCTGACTCTAGCCTCTGGTATGTACTGAATATTAAACATTAAACAAGCTCAACGCTCAAAACAATCGATTAATGTATCGTGATCGTGTGGAATTCGGGAAAGAGAATTACTTTTATTTCAGATTATGATCCGGTGAGTCACAAAATCTGGCAAATTCCGAAATCCGGTATATTCCGGATTCCGGAATCCGGTTGTTCCGGATACATGTAAATCCGGCGGAACCGGATTTCACCGGATAGTGCAAAATCCGGCGGAACCGGATTCCGGACCGGACTCCGGCACACCCCTAATATCTGCCACCAACTCCATGATAAAAACTGCAGTTAGCTTAAAATTTTGCCCCCTCCTTAAAAAGAATAAAGGGACTCCTGGGGGAATATTGCCCCCTCCCACCCAATATCTGAATAACCCCCTTGTCCCCTCCCACCCAATATCTGAATAACCCCCTCCCCTGCACAAACACGGTCCCTAGGCTATATATTGAAAGAAACACTGCAAACCAATACATGCAGAATTGACCAAGGTCCATGGGGGAGCTGGGAGAGTTTAGGGGGGGGGGGGTTAGACGCTGACATGTTTCGTTCATATTCATATGATTTTTATGAAAGGATGCAAATGTTATACTGCTGACTTATATTTTCTGAGACTAAGTTAGTCTTACTAGTCTTAGCTAGTACACTTACTAAGTTACTAACTTACTAAGTCGTCTAAGTAAGCTACCCTAAGTGAGTCACTTGTGACTTAGTAACCAAGTCTAGACTGCCAGTACTAGTACTCACTTAAATATGAATCTGAATAAACTGAATTGGCTCAATTCAATTGGCAATGAATTCAATTGACTATCGGCTATCGGATTAAAAAAATATTTGAAATTTTTTTTTAGTTCCACTTAGTCACTAACTCACTTACGTTAGTATAAACGTAAGCAGTTATACTGAAGTATTAAACTTCCAAATATTATATGAAATCCATATTATTGTTCTTACCATTTTCATTTGTTTCTTTCTTAGTAATGGTTTCCATAGTTGTATCATAACTTGATTAAACAGTAAAGATACCACGGTCACCCTAATTGCCAAGATACCAGATATTATTCAGAATATCATTTTTATAGCGTTTTAATTTTAATGAATTTACTCTTAAAATAAATAAGTAAAGTAATAGAACTCTTTATACATATCTAATATGTTGTACAATTGTTTAAAATATTGCTGAATATTAAATTTTTATTAGTTGAAAAATAAGGTACCGGAATTGAAAATCATGTAATGCAAGTGTCCGATTCCATTTCTTGCTTAGCGTTATAAACAGCCGACTGTGCATACCCACTTTGATCAATTAAATCAATTATTATGACCTGGCCATGTTGTCTGTTGGCCCTTACACTAATTGAAGAGCTTTAGATCTTGATAATAAAAAAAAATTATTTTGATTGAATTACAATGATGGAATGACACTGTTCACACGGGAAATCTAGAGCCACACGCAAAACCAGTCATCTAGCCGAGTCCTAAAAACAGCTCCCATGACTAAGTTATTTACCCTCTTATTGTAGAAGAATTCTGTAAGCGGGTGATAGTCATACCGAGCTACTGATAAAAAGCAGTGGTTCTCTCATGCATCTCGGGGGGGGGGGGGTTGCGGTAACACCCCCCCCCCCCCCCCCCCCCCGATCGAACAAACCAACCTCCCGGGAAAATCTGGAAAATATACCCCCCCCCCCTCAAAAGAAAAAAAAATTTCCTCCCTTGATTTTATAGTCTGAAAAACATACTCACCCCGATAGGCAAAACAAGTAATTGGAAATAACTTTTTTGGTCAACAAAAGAAGCACACGTTTAGTGAGTTTATAAAAAAAAAATGATGAAGACCTATGTTACTATGTTCGAAATCTTGCTGTGTGCAAGGCAAACGAAAACTGTAACATATTAAAATATTTTCTTTGAGTCGTTGTCGTTGACAATGTTACCCACAATCACAATAATATAGTGCAGAAGCTTTCAAGTTATGCGCCCCAAAGCAAGTTGGAAGTAAAGAAATGTTAATATGAGTGACGACTTGCATTTTGTACATTGAAACATTGACAATATAAATGGTTGCCTTTTAGATAGTCTAGATCCAATTAGACGTTCTTCAAACGGCCGTCAGTGTTATTTTTGTTTATTACATATTGTAAGCTCTGCGAGTACGCGATTTTGAACTATAACAATTTAAAATATGGTAGATATTTCACCACCCCAACCCCTTACCAAAAGAGACCTCGATTAAATTGTACGTGTTTTAGAGAGAGATGGGGGAGAGAGAAGATGAGACTATGAGACTATGAAAGATACGTTCCATTGGTGTATTTTGGCATTTTCTCAGTGATCCCACCCACGGGAAACAATTTTTCTATTCTTTTGTAGAAAAAGTTGCGTTTAACCATTCCCGCGTTCTGTGCTATATTTAGTATCAATATCTCCTGCAAGTTGTGGTCAAGTTTATAGAATATACCTAGTTTTATAGTTTATAGCCTTTGCCTTCACCTTGTACTTGAAGATTTTTTTATACTCGTTTCACCGATTTCATTAAATTAAACCACACCTTAATTTCACGGCTAAAATGCCAGGAATAGATGATTGGTGGACTCGACCATATGTAACTATTCAAAAGCTGTTTGGTATGTAATTAGTGACTTAATTAGTAATGAGTAATGCCAATGTAATGTTACAATGGTTGTCATTACTCAATATTTATATTAATTAGGCCTAGGCCTACTCATTTTGTTTGTAAATTTAAAAAAGAAAATTGAATATTGAAATTAAGTACGTTTCTGTTCAGACAATTGTCACCACTGTGTATCCATTCTCTGTGTAATAATTATTAGGTGTATTCAGTATAGTATAATGCAGTATACTTACATTTACTACATACATTTCAATTTCATACATATTGTTAAACACTAGCCTACACTTACACTAAAGTCTAAAGTTAAAGTAACAATATTCAATATAAATATAACTATACAAACAGAACTTTAAACAAGTCATATAATATAATATATAATAATATAATATATAGGCTCTAATCTAGTCTAAGAGTAAGAATCAAGTGAAAGTGAAGTCACCTTAGGCTTAGGCCTTAGGGCTTAGTTGTAAAAATTTTCTTAGTCTTACTTAGTACAATGACAATTAGTTGCTAGGGCTAGGGTGATTTCAAAATTCAAATCTTGATTGATAGGGCCTTTCCCTATATGATATACCATGCCATTTATTAGTTTGATTTAATCAGTACACTTGAGTACACTCATCAGCGCTGTTTAAATAATTAATCAATGGTAGGCCTTCCTAGCCTAATAAATAATAAATTCAATATTAATTATATGATTAATTTCTTTTTTTTCAGAAGAAAATGAAGGTAAAAAACATGAAGAATTCATAAAGCAAGTTCAAACTTATTATACTGAGCGGCTAGATACTGCTGCACTTTCAAAGGTAATATATATTTAAAGTATAGATTATAAAATGTGGTGGTGCTGAATACTATTTATGCTATACTATATTGCATACATACTACTAATGAAGACCTATCATCAATCATATTTCAAAAGAAAGAAGAGAAGAAAAAAAAAGAAGGTCCAACTTAAGAAAATAAAATGTATTTTTTTAAACATAAGTCATAAGTATTACCATTCTACACTTTCCACATGTTATAACTGATGCAGACAGGTAAGACATTAACAAACTAAATAAGTTTCTGAGACTCCAGAAATCTAATACCATCGTAAAATCATTATTACTATAACTATTGGATCTGAGAGACAGAACCACTTCAGCAAACAAAACGAAAATAAAGAATGTTTAACTCTTGCCTTAGCCTTAGACAAATCCTTAGGATTCGTCAAACTAAAACCATAAGAAATAAATTACAGCAAGATCATATTGAAAAAGACCTGCTGAAGAAGAAATTCCTCAAAGACAATTAATGCCAGATGATAATGATATTAATCAGTAACATGCTGTGAAAACCCAGACCCTGCATTTGCTTTTGTATAGAATGATTAGAGAGAAAACATAAGTGGTCCACAATGTTATTACTTGAGTTAGGCCTAAATAAGATAGAAAGTAAGTGGGAACATTTCGAGAATTTTCCAATTCAAAATGGCATGTAAGCTAAAGACTGTTAGGTTAATGTAACTAAATAATTTTAATTTTTTTTTTTCAATTGTAAAATTTTTTTTAATTATTTATTTTAATTTCCAAAGATAATGGACATTTTCAATCCAAATGAAATTCAGTTCCTCCAGATTGGAGATGATTTAAATTAACAGATAAAAGCATTGCTTTAATTATATGGGACAAATAAAAATCAAGATTTAATTTAACCCTAATTGTCTAATTCAAGAAGTAAATATTATTAAAATTTATTGAATATATTTATATTAAAAGGCACTTGCTAATAAGAACTTCTGCTTGTTTTTATGTATTATTATGCTTGCCTAATTTTATAATAATAAATTTCATTTTCGTTTAATTGATCTTTTCGGTTTTTAGAAATTAGAAATTGAATTGTGTCACAGAACGTTTGTTACGGAAGAGAGCTCCGGTTATGACTTATCACAAACTGTATTGATCTAGTAATGGTCTAGTAATGGTCAGTACATGACCTCTCCTCTCTGTGATTTATATTTTGAGTACTAGGCATTGTGACAGACAAAAGCACAACATAGACTTTAATGAAATCAAAATAACACAAACTATAGGTGTCCAGACGATGACATAGTATGTGTTTATTTCTAAGATAAAAAGCTCTTCTGTTCGTACTGTCAATAATCTATATGTATCTCTAAATTTGTGACTTTTTCCAAACTATTCAACTGTTTTGTCTCCTCTATTCCTATGTTCAGCTAGTCAACTGTCATCTCCTAATCTCTCACAACTATAACTATTCCCTCTCATTTGCTTTCTCTCAGCTCTTTTTCTCCCCGACTTCTCATGTCATGAAGAGTTCTGTCTTATGTATGAATCTCTACCGCCATAGGTGGCCCAGGAATGGTATTTATTAACCACACACACCCTAAATTTCCGGTTAATTACAATTTCCCATCGTTAACCCCAAAATTATCATGCAGGCTGGAAGGCTCAAAACATAATGTTATGGAAAGAAACAATCCCTTCTATCTCGAAAATGCAAGAATCTATTAACCTTAACCTCACCCCCTTAACTATTCCCTCCCTAAAAAACAGCAATTTGCATCCATCCAATAAGTTACCTGACCAACAATGGAGCTCTGCTCTGTACGCCTGCCCGAGTCAATGGTGACAACTTGGAGTTGAGAAAGAGTGAAAATTAGTTTTGCTATTCAAATTATGTAATCAGCAGGCTTTGGTAGAGTCAGTGATGTTGAGGAATGATAATATCATGACATTGATAAATTTTAAAGTGGTGAAACTGAATTAAAATTCATATTCATAAAATGGATTAGATATAGGCTATATAATATTAAGACTATGATTGACTATCATTGATTGTAAGTTTTTAAAACTTTTTTAAAAGTTAATTTCATAATCATTGTTATCAGAATATAATGTGAAATTTCAATTGGGGAAAGGTTATGAAAATCCAATTTTAAATGGATTCAGTTTTGATTTTATTAATTTGTCTAATATTATTTGACTTTGACTTAAAAATAAATCTGTACCGGGTATGTTAAAATGAAAATAAAATCCAAAAGATTAATTGAAATAAGATTAACTATATTATTTTTAAAATTTATAACTGTTAATATAATTCAAAAGCTTTTAAAATCCTTTTAAAAAATTAAAAATATCAGATATATCCGATTTAAATTTTAAAAAATTATGAATTTTACACAAATAAAATTTTAGATTTAAGTTTTTCATTATTTTTTTTTTTTAACTCATGATTTTTATCAACCCTGAATTCCTTTGTTTTTATGTTCATCTTAGATACCCTCCGTGAATACTGTGCCTCTAGATCAGCTAAAGTCAGGATCTCTTGTGAAGTATCGATGCATGGTTCAAGATGTTTTTGATCCTCAATATTGCGTTGGTCAGTATAAAGTGACCAATACCAGTACCCAAACCACGCGTATTGAATTTGGATCATTTCGTGATGTTCCCAATTTATCTGTAAGTCTTTTGACTAAGCAAAGTATAAGCCTTTACAGTATATATGTTTACATTGTTTTTTATTTATTTTATATTTAATTGTTATATTATTGCCATGTTATGTGGGCTTATATTTTGTCCTAATTATTATTTTTGTAACTCTTTTTTTTTTCCACACCATGAAGTAAAGAAATATAGAAACAAAATTTTAAGTTATTGACTTACCAGAGGGATTCAAATTTTTTTTTTAGCCAAATGAAGTCATTGACTTTGACAGTGAGAATACACACATTGAAAGGCTTGGTTTCTACTGTGTACCCATACCAGGGGAATCGGAATGGGTCAAAGAAATATCCTTTTGTATTATTTTGTAGAAAACGTTTCCAGTATTCTGGGCAGATAATGTTACTCTGATATGTATATTATAAGTATAAAAAAAAAAAAATAAGGGTAATTGGATTTGTGTGTTTAACTTTGAAACTGTTATGGTGTGCAGTGCATTTTAAATGGTTACACATTTCACATTTATATGTGATAATCCTTAACTTTGAGTTTCAAGCTTATGACAAAAAGGATTCAATCACAATTACACCTTCAACAAGTACATCAGCTGCTCGTTCCAAGAGGGGGAGAGACAATGAAGACAGTGAGAGTGAGACACTGAAAAGGACAACTAAAGACTGCAAAGATTCATCCTCTGATATAGAAATGGCTTGTGCAGAAACTTCATTGTCACAAGATGGACAGAATCCACTGAATAAAGGTTGGAACAATTTTTAATTTTAGCAAAACTACACCGGTTAATTCAAACTTTTATATTTTAACAAATTATATTGAAATTAACTAGCTTAATTTGTATTACTACTTCTCTCTAACATATATATCTTTCTTTTTTTTATATATTCACATAATTCTCTTATATTTTATATAAATAAAAGGATGTGTCTGTATACTTCAGCAGATGCTACAACAAATGCTCGCAGCATCCCTTCTGGTAATACTAAAGTTTATGATATGAACATGCCTTTGGCAGATGAGAAAGGGATACCCTGTATTGTGAAGGTATTTGGCATAATTTATTACAAAGTATTGAGAGTGGAATCACTCATTTTTTATTATACCAATGATTTTAGAAAAATACTAGATCTCTTCATTTTATCTCACATTCATAGACTTCGAAAGTAACTTCGAAAATAATTTATATATAAATGGACAAGTGCAATGATATTTTTCTCTCGCAAATGACACAGAATTATTTCTTTATTATTAGGTATATGCCAGTGATGCTGTTCTTAAAGCAACAGATGCTGTGGAATTTGTTGGAATTCTTTCAGTTGATCCATCTTTAGCATCAATTTATGATGATGACATTGAGTAGGCTATGTTATTTTAATTAAGTTACTGCAAAGTTGCTAAATATGTTAACAAATACTAATTCTATGTAAAATTATATATTATTGTTGTTACCAAATTTTTATTTGTCTCTTTTGTCGTTAAAAATTACTTTAAATATTTAAAATATGGAACATGCAACTTTATTCTTTTTTTTTTCTTTTTCTTCGTTTTCCTTATAGTTAGAAATCCACATATCAAACATAAGTATAAACATTTTGCATCCTGATTTTCCAAGTTTTTATCATAGTTTCTCTTGTTATTCAGTTGTCTGGGGACTTGAAGTTCAATTAGCGTTTTGCCCCATAAAAAATACTTGTATGCTCAACAATTGTTTTAACAGATGTGATGATGTTGCTTATCAAGAGGAGCTACAAGCCCATGAACCCCCTCCTTCTTTAGTTCCTCGTATTCATGCACTACTCATGAGGCCCTTGCAGCACAACAACCCAAGTCTTCCTCCAGTCCCACAAGCTGATGTTTACAAAATTGGTGAGGAAATATGAATACTTAGCTTTGTTAAATTGTGATTTGTGTTTAGTGTTTTGGAAAATGTATAAGATTTTAACTTATAGAAAAATCAGATTTTGAAGAACTAAAATATTTTTGTCATGATTTTGAAATATGACCAAACAAATCTTTTAAAAGGGGTAATTGTTTTTTTATGTATTGATATATTCCCAACCATTTGGATGAGCCAGGTTAAATTTTTATTTTACAAAATTGTTACTTTAAAAAAAAAAAATAATAAAATCAAGTAACATTTGAAACTCACAGTCTCATTTGATGTTAAACCTAACATTAGAGAGAGGTATGAGAAGCAAACACATTGACACCCAAGGAACAATCACAGGATACTTTCTGAAGGAAACCCACAACCAATAGGCACTCTCTACAACCAACCCCTTCAACTCTCTTGCATATGCCGATGACGTAGCACTGTAAGGAAAAAGAAATGAAGACATCAAAAGCTTTTATTGAATTAGAAGACCCATCACTACAAGCAGGGCTAGAGGTGAACCTAAAAAAAATTACATGACTATGTTTAAGAGAAGAACAGACAGAGGAAACTAATAAAGGTTAATCGCTTTAAATCTCTAGGATCTTTAATAAATAAAGAAATGACGTACCGAAATGAAAGAAAGAATGTCATTCTGAGACATGCCATACTCCAGTAGTCACAACATGCTCAAAAGTTAAAACGTTACAAAAAAAAACAAAAAAACTAAATATAAGATCAGTAGTAACATATACCAGTAAAACTTGGACCTTAACAAAAACAGCATAAAATCTACTCAACAAATGCTAGAGAAAAGTTCTCAAGAAAATGTATCAAGAAAGGGTGAATATGAATGGGTAATACAAACCAATCAGGATTTGTATTGACTTAACGAGGATCCAATAATTGTGGCAGATATAAAAAAAAAGGACAGGATACGCTGGGCGGGACACTTAAAAAGGATGACAGAGGTGTGAAGAGGGTACACCACCAAAAAGCCAGCGAAAAACGGCTCAGTTGTAGACTTTGCCTTAGAGGGATAGGCGATGTAGAAGATCTACAGCAACTGGGAATCCAAACATGGAATAGATAAGCAACGGTTAGGCCTGTAGGATGTTGAGAAGCAGGCCCAAAGTCCTGCACTGGCTGTAACGCCACAGGGATGAGACATTTTAAAAGTGATTCTTACCACTACTTTCTTTTCAGCTGCTGACCGTTTGATGGAAGATGCTTACAGTCTGCGCCTTGAGTTGCTTTCTGTTCTTGGACATGCTTTATTATGTGATAGTCTTGCGGCAGAATATTTATTATGCCACCTTATATCCAGTGTGTAAGTTCTACTTTGAGATATCCATAAATGTTTTTTGACATTATATATTTCCTTAAATTTTATTTACATTCTTTTTTTTTATCACGAGTCTCTTAAAACACTGTTGAAATAAACATTTTCTACCTCTCAACCCAGAGGATTGGTTTTGAATGTGTCAGGGTTACTGCAATGGGTAAAATGCAAAGAATGGACACGTTTTTTTTGGCAACTATTTTTTGGGAGGATGTAATTAATAGACCTTAAGTAAAATATCTCCACCACTAAGCTTGGCATGGATAAAAAAATGAGCTGTCTTCGCAAAAATAGCTGTAGCAATACCAGGTAAAGTATGGCCAACAGAATAAATTTGGAACCTTACACAAATATAATCTCAAATGAAAAACTTATTTAAATTCCTTCACATGTAAAATGAATATTGACATGTCAAAAATCAATGTTAACCTGTTATACATTGTTTTATACTCGACACCAGATATGCTAGAGCAGATACCCTCCCTCTGGGCAAGCTCTGCCTAAACATCAGTGGTTGTCCGGTGACTCAGAGATACACACAGTTTTTACACCATCTCATTTCCCAACTAGCAACTCAGGTAATAGCAAGTTTATGTCAATTAAGAATCATTACAACTTCACTCTTTACTTGATGGTTGGCCCTAAGAATATAGTTTAAAATCTTAATTGATACCGGGTATTCAATTATTTGCTTTTAGCAATAGATTTTGGGTTTTTTTGGGTGGACCTACTAAATTTAAATTTGTAGTCATGTTTTAAATTTGTTAAAAAAATTGTTATAATTCATTGCTTGGTTGCTACAAAATAGAATAAGTATAACTTGTTTTTACAGTGTCTTAACATTCAGAATCAAGAAAAGATACTCATGTTTTTTTGTTTTCTTGTTTTCTTTATCATGTACAGTTATGCAGTGCTACTTTTTACTTACTCAAACTTGCAATATTCAATTTCTCTTTCTTCTTTTGGATTTTTTTTAGACAGCCCTCCTAGAAATGTCCATTGACAATATGAACTCTGTAAAATTGATACCAAAGAAGGACTATAAAGTGAATCGAATCACTGCAGGCATGCTTCAACTTGCAGCAGGTACACATCTGGTTATTGATGAGACTGCATTGCAGCAAGGTCAGCTAAACCATACAGGTATACAGAGTTACTTTGTTTTTTTAATTTAATTTTTTTTAAATCAAATATCTTATAACTTGGTGCCCCTTCTTATGATTATGTGATCATTACTAGACTTCTAGAGGATTTTTACAATATTATTAAAAAAGTTCTGTTTCCTTCATCATTTTAAGGTGTGTCAAATGTCAAGGCCCTGGCAGATGTTATTAACTGGCAGAAAGTTGACTATGATTTCCAATGGCACCCAATACCCGTTCCAACAGATATTCATGTTTTGATATTATCAGAGGGTGAATCGCTCCTCCCAGTAAGTACAGGATGACGTAAGGGGATTAAATATTTTTTAGCAATTATTATTTGTTTTAATTCTTTGATTGAACACAAAATTTTTTTTAAAACTTTCACATATTTATTGGCGTATAACACTCACTTTTTCTCCCCGAAAATATGGGGCAAATCATGTGTGCGCGTTATACGCCGATATAATGTTTAGTTTTTTTTCCCTGAAATTTCCTTCTTAAATTGAGATGCGTGTTATACACTGGGGTATGTTATACGCCAATAAATACGGTAATTATGTAAATATAAGAACAACTCGATTCAGGCAAAAAAAAATCAAATTTGGTAGTAGAAATGAAAGGAAAGCTGTGTATAATTGTGCTTACTTATTACACTGCTTTACTTATGTTGGCTTTTTCATACATGGACTTTGAGAACTGAGTTCATGAGATTTTCTTTATCTATACAAAAGTATGTTAAGAAAATAAGCCAATATTTTCATTTAAATGTTAACAATTTCGGCTGCTAAGGGATAGCCTGTTACGATCCCCATTTTAAAATAAGACCCCTTCTGGATCTCATTATAAAGAACAGTCAGGAAAATTAAAGGAGCTTAGCAACAATGAGGCAATGATAAGCTTCACCAGGAGATTGTTCTCCAAACAGTACATAAAAGCCACACCAACTTTATGGGGGCAACAAAGTTTGGTGTATTTCTGACCCCCGCAGTGAGTATATATGTCCTTTTCTATTTTACACTGGAAAGGTCCACAACCCCAATGCCACATGGCATAGGCCACCATGTCATCTTTGAAGTAGGAAGACCTTATTTAGAAAAGTGGCACCATTTCTACTTTGACAATTACTGTTCAAGTATTAATCTTGCAGAGGATTTGATGACTTCAAGCACTCATTCGTGTGCAATGATTTGCACCAACAGGAAAAGCTTGCTACCATGCTGAGAAGATGAAAGGTGGGGATGTTCGTTGTCTACAAAAAAGGCAGGTTGCTGCCAACAGCTTGGTTCAACAAGTTTCCACTTTGCCTACAAATCATCATCATCATGTCTCTTAGTCCTTGGACCGTTGGGGCGCTACAGATGACATGTGAACTATTTTCCTCCACTCGTCTCTGTCTTCTGCACTACGCACAGCATCGCCCAGTGTTAGTCCTGTCCACTCTTTGATGTTATCCTCCCATCTTTTTCTTTGTCTTCCTCTTCTTCTCCCTCCTCTTGTGGTGCCCTGCAATATTTCATTGGCAAGCCCTTGTTTCCTTGTTACGTGGCCGTACCATTGTAGTCTGTGTTTTTTCAGTCACCAGTAGGTCATCGTGCTCCCCAATTGCCTGGCGAACCCTTTCTTTCACTGTATCATTGGAGATATGGTCCCTATAGCAGATGCCAAAAATGCTTCTGAAGCATCTCATCTCCATCAGCTTTATTTTCCTTTCAAGATCTGCTGTTTATGTCCAGGATTCGCAGGCATACAGGAAAATGGAGAGGACTAAATAGCGCATCAACCTGATTTTGGTGGGGGCTATATTTTTGTAATTCCATATTTTCTTGAGCTTCTTTAGTGCTGTTGTAGCCTGCGCAGTCCTGGACATCAGTTCGGGCTTGTAGCCTTCTTCTGAGACTATTGCTCCTAGGTATTTGAAGCGACCTACAGTCTCTAGCCTTTCCTCCCCGACCTTAATTTCAATGGAGATGCCTGTGGTGTTATTTGTCATGAGTACAAAAAGAGAAAGTGATGTTGAAACTGTGAGTCAGAGATCGAATGAAGCTCTAGAAATGTTGCCATTTCTCAGCCCATCCTCAGCTCAGCTTCAACAAGTATTGGAAGATTTGGAAGATCAGTACAGATCCTACTACTCTGTAGGTAGGAAATCCAATAAATGGTGGAGGCATGGTCTTTTGCTCCTAATCCAAGTAGGAATTATCAACGCCGTCACCATTATGAAGGAGACCAAGAAACCTTCCATTCTGAAAAGCAAGAGAAATTATCCAGCCACTAATCATCTCTAGTTCCACCTTGACTTACTGTCAGCATTGCTAAGCTCTTCAGCTCATCAGCTGCTGAGGAAAAACACAGACATGGTTTCAGTTATTAACAACAGCACAGCCATTGTCATCTAAACATAAGCTGATGAGACTTTTTGACAGGAAAAAAAAAACCTGCCAAAAGAACAACAGTGGGAGGGTACCAGAAACTGTCTTTGGGTGCAATTTTTGCCATATTCACCTGTATAAGGGTGCTTGCTTTGTGGAGTTCCAAATGGAATTTAATGCGCTTGATAGAAGACAATATATTGACCCCAAAAAATTAAAATATTTTTTTACCTTTTTTATGGATATTTTATGTGAAAACTATTTGGATTTCATCTTTCACCAACCATAAAGAATGTCCATTTATTTGTGTTTCGGTATTTTTTATTGTTTTTCTTGCTTCTAGTTTATTTTGGGTAAATTAATAGATGAAGAACCATGATTTAAAATATAGTTATGTCCCCTTCCTTGGTCGCTTAGAGTAGAAAGGCTGAAGAGGCAAAACTGTAAAGGGTTAAAGGTGAATTTGGATTACAAGAAATTGTAACATGAAATACTCATTGTAATTACACGGAGGCCTACTTGGGATTCACTACATTCAACAATTTTTTTTAAAGTAATAACAGATAGTTTTCTATTGAGTCATAAAAAATAAAATGGTAATCGCTTTAATTACCTGAAATGCATCTGACATGAGGTTATAAAAGGGATATAAATGGAATCTTGGAAAATTCATCTGGTTCTAAAATAATAACTTTTTTTGGGGGGCTGAAATTATTTGTTAAAAACTTCATACATATTTGTATTAATTATTCTCATTGCTATGCTTTTGGAGTGGATTCTGGCCACATGAGGCTGATTCCCATGCTGCTCAACAGCTCTTTATAGATCTTGAATTTAGCACATCTATGTTTTGTTCTATATGTTAAAAAAGAAGTTTTGTTTTTTTAAAACAACTAACATATATATTATTATTTATTTGAGGGATATTCATTCCATGAAATCACTTAATTTTATATATGTTATCTTTTTGTTTTTCTCAGAAAGATATTCACATCCCACTTGCTTCAGATGGTCAGATTCTAGATATTCCAAGTCACTTCTCAAAACTTGATGGTCGCCTAACACCTGAAAATCTAGACAAACTCAGAGCATATATCACAGCATGCAGATTGATAGACTACACTGTATCAGAAGAAACCCAAAAAGTAAATTCAATAGCTAACAATTATTTTGATTAAAAATTTTCATCAAATTGACCATTCCCAAAGCTTTTATAATCAAAAGGCATAAACATACCAAATTTTATTGCTTATAAAAAGTACCTTTTAAACAAAATAATGTTTAGGCCTATTTATGACATAATTTTGAAATACAGCTACCATAGCTAAATATTTAGCTACCTATTTAGCTACCTGCTAAATTCCAAAATTTTCGTTTTTTAACAAGATTTTTTTTTGTTATCTTTCTTAATCTTTGTTGGATTTAAGTCTTGAATTAAGTTAAATTATTTTGATGATTTCTAGAAGTTTTCAGCACATTTTATTTTGTAGTTAATACAGGATGACTTTGTTGAGACAAGACAGACCAATCCTAAAGACATGACCATAGAAGATTTGCAGAGATTACTTGGTTTAATCAGGTAGTTCAACTCACCTTGAGGTCACATCACATCTTATAAAGATTTTTGAATAATATTTTAAATATTTTAAAAAAAATATATCTTCTGCCATCTAATAAAGATATATCTACCAAATGAACAGTTCATTAAACGTGAAACAATATATGCTTTATCAGCAACAGTGATGAATATTGAATTATGTTGTAGTAAAAATATAATGTAATAACATTTTTGATGTCAAAAAGTTTGCTTTTTAAACTGGAATTAACATTATTTGTTTTTGATGTGTCAAAGTCTTAATTTTATTCCCCTTCCTAATGTTTTGACCTCAATGTTTTATTTTGGATATGATCAGATTTTTCTCAGAAAAAGTTAGCTTTCCAAAATTCTTCAGAAAAAATAGGATTTCCATGAAAAAATAAATACATATTATAAAAAAACAACTAACCTGTTAAATCAAAAACCAATTTAATACATTTTGCCTTTTTTGCTTGGAACTATATGTTAAATTTCTTTTCACATTCAGGGTGCTTTCACTTAGCTTCGGGAAGGGAACGTCTACATCTGAAATGTGGCTGAAGGTGAAGGCCATGGAGGAGGAGAGAAAAAGACGAATTTCCCAATTGTCAAGACACACTAGAGCTACCCTATAATTATTTATTGGAACAATTTTTTTGTTAAAATTCATTTTAAACACTTATCTTAATATGTTCTTTTTTTTGTTTTTGCACCACTCATCAAGATGATTAAAGTCAATTCATAATTCACTGAGTTCTTAATTTTTTTTGATATACCTTTATAATTTATAGGTTAAGTTTAACTAAAAGAGTGAAAGGGCACAGGTTGTGGCAAATGTTGAACAATGAAATCTTTGCATTTGGAAACTCGCACAATTGGGTATGATCAAGATGAACTGTAGTCATTATTTGGGCAGGTGAGGCAAGGTTTGAGGACTCTTTAAGTTTTGTTTTTTTTCTCCCAAAATTGAAACCTAACTCCACTTTTTAGTTTTTAAAAAAAAGCAGGCTGCTAGCCAAGGATTAAAAGAAAATTGCAAAGAGGTATGTCTATAGTGATTTTCACTCAGTGGTATAGTGTTCTTCAATGCTTATATAGTTGAAGTGAAAAGTATACAGTATATACTTGCATACATTATATACATCACACCACTGTTTCTTTGGGGTTGTCAAAGGAGGTATTGGTGGTTGACCAGAAGATAGGTGTGTACTTGTAAAATTGATTTTGTTATAAATATAATAGAAGCTTTTCTTTAGTTTAACGTCAATGAAACATGTTTTTTTTTCTTTCAATAATTAGCTAGCTTCAGGCAACCGTAAGCTCCCCTTTCCCCTCCTCTTTTTTTTTTTTCTTCATCAGGTGATCAGACCAACTTTGAATATGACTACACCTGAAGTAATATGAATTGTTCTCTTTCTGGCAGCTTTGTTGTCATTTTATTTTTGTACATCACAGCTTTCCTATTTGATTTTAACTTTTTCATGTGCTTTTTGCTATTAATATTACCTGACTGAGGGATCACGCAAGCTTAACTAAATGTTGAATATTTGTATATATGTGTATCCTTTAGATATCTTTGTATTACGCAAACTCAACTTTGTTCAATTTTTATGGTATGTTTTAAATAGGCTGTGAAGAGTGCCCTTCATTTAATTTTTTTTTTTTTTTTAAAACATGATTCACTGTTGAATTTTGCAACATCTGGGAAAACAAGTTTGGTTCTAAGATGACTGTAACTAGAGCCACTTTGAAGCAAAACTGAAAACTGGACTGTTGCATTGGAACAGGATCAGGTCGGTGGGCGGTGTTGAAGAGATAAAAGAAATAGCACGCTTAGTCTCCTAACTTTCCATGCTTTACTTTTGACAAAGTCACACTGCCCTGCCCTGCTTCTTACTTTCGTGGTCAGTAACAAGAGGATACTCATGAGGATTTATATTGGGCAGGGAAAGCAATGTTTGAGAACTACCCGATGTTTGAGAACTGTTTGAGAACTACCCGTATGAACATTTCAAAAAGAAGAAAGTTCATTGACATTATATAACAGGTATTAATCATTGGAAACTTTGGTGATGGGCAATGAGTATCAACACCCGTGGGACTGTTGAGTTATGGTTTGTTGAAGGGACAGTCTTATAACTAAAATCAGTATATGGGCTCTGAATATAGCAAGTAGGGCCTATAAATAATATTAATAGCACGGATTTTGATCTGAGCTCTGGGGCAGAGTTGTGAACTTACTGCTCCAAGATACAAATATTTTTTTTTTTATTATTTAGTACTTCTTCATTTTTATAATTTTAAATAAATAAATGTCCCTCTCTTCTACAACTATATTGCCCACCTCTTCCACCAGCTGCCCCCACCCCACTCTTGTTCCAGCTGTGTTACCCCACTCTTCTACAACTATATTGCCCATCTCTTCCACCAGCTGCCACCACCCCACTCTTGTTCCAGCTGTGTTACCCCACTCTTCTACAACTATATTGCCCATCTCTTCCACCAGCTGCCACCACCCCACTCTTGTTCCAGCTATGATGCCCCGATCTTCTACAGTTATGTCGCTTGTGCATGAATTTCTATTGCCTAGTTAATAAGATGGGTCAGTGGCTATCATTAAAACATTTCTCCAAACACTTAGCACCACCTTAATTACCCCTTCAGCGGAGCCCGGCAAAAAATGTCTGCTCCAGATCCCTGGTTAATTTACTCCGGAGTTGGCGTAACTAGCACTCTGGAGAGAAGGGTTGGTTGGCGTAACTAGAACTTTGTGGAGAGAAGGGTTGGTTGGCGTAACTAGCACTCTGTGGAGAGAAGGGTTGGTTGGCATAACTAGCACTCTGTGGAGAGAAGAGTTGGTTGGCGTAACTAGCACTTTGTGGAGAGAAGGGTTGGTTGGCGTAACTAGCACTCTGTGGAGAGAAGGGTTGGTTGGCGTAACTAGAACTTTGTGGAGAAAGGGTTGTTTGGCGTAACTAGCACTCTGGAGAGAAGGGTTGGTTGGGGTAACTAGCATTCTGTGGAGAGAATGGTTGGTTGGGGTAACTAGCACTTTGTGTAGAGAAGGGTTGGTTGGCGTAACTAGTACTCTGTGCAGAGAAGAGTTTGTTGTCGTAACTAGCACTCTGTGGAGAGAAGGGTTGGTTAGCCTAACTAGCACTCTGTGGAGAGAAGGGTTGGTTGGGGTAACTAGCACTTTGTGTAGAGAAGGGTTGGTTGGCGTAACTATCACTCTCTGCAGAGAAGGGTTGGTTGTCGTAACTAGTACTCTGTGGAGAGAAGGGTTGGTTGGCGTAACTAGCACTCTGTGGAGAGAAGGGTTTTATTCAAACTTAATCGATAGGCCTACCCATGCCGTCATCCTCCCCTCAAAGGGCCCAAAATATGTCAATGCACCCTTGTCACCAGGTCCGTGCGAAGGGTAAGCCGCCCAGAGCGCTAATATAACGTGGCCACCAAAATCGTCATTTATCCATCTAGGCCTATATCATTTTTATGAAACAGTGGGGGTCAGATTCAGGCTTCTGTGCGGGCCAAGATTTCCTTCCCTACGCGAGGCCCTTCTAGCAAAAACAAATGTGTATGTCATGCTTGGGCTCAAAGAGGAGTCATAGTTCATTTATTCTATTCAATTTTTTTTATTTTTAATTGCCTAAACTTCATTTTGCTAAATCATTAAGATCTGCAAAATATTAATGTTTTTGTTCTTTTAAGGGTTTTTTTTTTTTTGTTTGGTCTCTTTTAATAATGATTTGACTAAATTGTCTTGGCTCTTGGTATACAAAAAAAAAGTGTGTTAAAAATGTAGTACGCTGAAGAGACAAGCGACATTCTCACCAGTTTTACACTATATATTGAAGAACTCTTATGGGTGCGTCCAAGGCGATGCCAGTAGCGTGGATTGTGGCCAAGCACGAGTCATACACTTTTACATGACATATAAATAAGACCATAAGGTTAACTCCTCGACTACAATAATTTCAAAGGAGTCGTAAACAAATCACGAAGTAGCTGAAAAGGAAAATGGTCAACAGAATGGGATGCTAATGGATGGTGTTTGTTTTCTGAAACGTGAGTTTACTCGGGCCACCCAGGGGGGCGTGAGGTGGCTATTCAGGGGTTGCGAGGGGATATGAGATTAAAAGAACATGGGAGCCATTGTCAATATCTTGTATGTTAAAATATAATATTTGAAAACAAATATTATTATTAATATTTTACTTTGCCTAAAATGTACACACTTTTTTTTTCCGAAGCTCTAAATTTCTTTTTATGGAATTGATTCTCCCCCCCTCCCTCCAACCCCCGCCCCAAGGTTCCTCAGTGTTTATTAGTGTACGTAAAATAGTGCACATATCTCTTTCGCTATCAGCAAGGTTTTTATTAATGTCGCAGCTGAGACCAGAGGATTCAGCTGTGGATTAAATGGTGTACAAATGGTAGACATTATATGACCTTTTTCAAGTCATTTGTAAATAATAATTGTATCTTTGATGTACGGCTTAAAGGCGAACATTTGATGCATCTCGCACACAAGGATTAAAAAAAAAAAATTGTCCATGATTATATATTGAAATTTAAAAAAAAAATTGACGGAAAATGTCATCGGCAACGAGTCTATGTGCCAAGCTTCAGCTCGATAGTTTGACAAGAAGTGGGTCAATTAGCCCTCCGAAGATTTTTCCACAATCCTAGAAAGAAACAAACGAACAAAAGCGAATGTAATATAAAGGATTTTAAAAAGGTGACAATGATTACATGATTACCACGCTGGCAAACGTTTGGAGTCATATATCACAAAATACATGCCAGATTATTTTTGTCGAGTCATATGGTTCCAGGAACATTGATTTTTCATCTACATTAAAAAAAAGCCAACAATTACCCCCAAATAGGGAAGCAAGGTAACATGTTTCAAAATTAACTACGCTTCATTAAAAAAAAACCCCGCCAACAACAACAAAAATACTGTTGGTGCATGGGTGCCTGCAGAAAACTTTCTAGGGGGGGGGGGCAAAAAAATCGATTAACTTTCCAGGGGGGGGGGGCAAAAATTTTTTAGTAATGTTTTGATGTAGTTTTAATTTACTGTAGCGTATTTGTATGGTGCACGAACGGACAGGACATCAGCTTAGATGGTTTTTGGTTGCTAGTGAAAAAATTTTTTAGTAATGTTTTGATGTAGTTTTAATTTACTGTAGCGTATTTGTATGGTGCACGAACGGACAGGACATCAGCTTAGTTAATTTCTCTTTATTTTCTCTTTACTTTAATACATTTTTTTGTCTATTTTTGTCTAAACAAATTTTATCCAATCAAACCAGGGGGGGGGGGGCAACTGCCCCCCTCCCCTGCGGGCGCCCATGTATTGGTTTAACGTTTATTGAAAAATTAAGTAGGAAGTCATTCGATTAATGATTCGCCCTGATAATGTTGAAGGAGTTTCGTAGATGGCGGGTAAATTTGAAAGGCATATTGACGACATGTCAAGTAATATTTCAGAGACATTTAATATCTCATGCTATAATCCCCGGGTGGATCTTGTCCGCCCCGCTCTCATTGCACAGCGCGATGCGCTCCCATTCGCAGCTTCCCCGTCCGTACGCACCAAATGCCCACAAAAGAACACATTCGTCACCCACCGGTCATTGACAATTTGCAAGGCCATGCCTAAAGAAAGGCGAATGAAGGCTCTAAGGAGAGAGATGGAAGG